GCATCAGATCTGCAACTCTGTAGGGTGGGCCATGTGAACTGGAGATCCATTACCACCAGGGGGCGCTAGCCACAAGGCAATGGTGAGAGCCAAGCAAGAAAGGTGTGGGATGGGTCGGCCACACCCAAGAGGAACAGCATTTGGATGTGGGCTGATCAAGAGGATTTAGCTGTTCTTAGAGCGCTGGGGTTTGTTTGTTTGTTTGTTTTGGAGATTTATTTTTGTTTTATGTATAAGGGTGCTTTGATCTTCGTGTATGTCTGTGCTCCATGCACATGCTTGGTGTTCTCTGAGGCCAGAAGATTGTGTCGGACCCTTTGGAACTGGAGGTATAGACGCTTGTGAGCTATCATGTAGGTGCTGGGACTCAAACTGAGATCATATCCCAAACTGAGAGCATCTCCCCAGACTCAGTACGTTTTTTTTAGTGTTGTTGTTTTTTTTTTTTTAATTTATCTTTTTCCTTTTTGTTTTGAGACAGAGTTTCATGAAGCCTGGCTGGCCTCCAACTCTCTATGTAGTACCTTGAATTCCTGACCCTCCCTCTTGCCTCCCCCTCCTGAGTGTGAGGATTACAGTCACAGCCATTATGTCTGGTGTATGTGGTGCTGGGCACGGGATTCAGACCATCTTGCAGGCCAGGCAGGGTCTCTACCAACAGCGTCACATCCTGCAGCCTCGAGGGAACCTCTTGAATGCTGAGATCACACGCACGACTGTGCTAGGTGACCAGGCTGGATTTACAGATAAATGAAAACAGCATTTCAAAGTCAGAGAGGCCAGGCAAGATGGCTCAGTGGGTCAAGGTGCTTGCCACCAAGGCTGAGGACATAAGTTCAATCCCTGGAGCCCATATAGTGGAAAGAGAGAGCTGACTTCTGCAGGTTAAGTCTTCTGGCCCCCACAGACATTTTGTGGCCAACCTCCCATAGGCAGATAAAATGAACAAACAAACAAACAAACAAACAAACAAATGCTATTATTATTACATTTTTACAAAAGAAAACAAAACCCTGAAAAACATTTTGTAACTTATGCTAGATTAACTGGACATGGGGACTCACTCCTATAATCTTAGCACACAGAGGCTGAGGAAGGAAGAGTAGGGGACTCAAGGCAAGTCTGGGGTGTTCAGGAAGAGCTTGTCTCAAGAAAACAAAAGTCAGGGTTGGAGAAACAGCTCAGCGGATAAGAGCATGGGCTGCACTTTCAGGGGACCTGGATTTGATTCTTAGCAACCATATGGATGCTTGCAACTATCTAACCCCAGATCCAGGGGATCTGATACTCTCTGGTTTCCACAAGCACCCAAATAACAGTGCATATTCAGGCACACACACATAAAATCATAAATAAACAAATCTTACACACACACACACACACAAGTTCCCTGACTAAACTTAATTATTTTTAAAGGGGAAAGACATCCATAAGACCTCCATGTTAGGGGAGCACGCATGTCCACCGTGGGCTGCCGGGAGCACTGTGGTTAGAACCCTGAGGGGCTGGAGAGATGGCTCAGCAGTTAAGAGCACTTAATGCTCTTGCAGAAGAGCCAGGTTTGGGTCCCAGTGCTCACGTGTTGGCTCACAATCATCTATAATTCAAATTCCCAGGGATCTGATGTCCTCTTCTGACCTCTGAGAGTACAGGGCACATTTGTGGCACACAGACATACATGAAGGTGAAACATTCATTTACATAAAAGAAGGACATCTAAAAAGATTAAAATAATAATGATAGTAGTAGAAATAATTAGAAAAAAAAGAGAGAGAGAGAAAGGACTCTGCAACCTGAGAAGCCGAGCCCTGGGCCACTCACCTCTCCTTTCGGAGCAACTCTTGGCTGATGTGGACTAGCTGGCCAGAGGCATCATGGGTCTTCCGGGACACAGTCTCCAGCTCCGCCTCTAGGCGCCTCTTCTCCTTCAGGAGCGAGTCTATCTTCTTCTCTCCTGATTTGCACTTGTTCTCTAGAGCTGGGGGGAAGCCGCAGAGAAAGGAGAAAGTTCAAACACAGATGGTAACTCGGGGTGTGGCTCAGTGTGCAGAGCGCTGGCCGCAGCAAATCAGAGGCTCCAGGTTCTATTCCCAGCACGGCTTAAACTGGAGTGATACCCAAACAGGCCTGTGGCAAAGCACTTCAGACATGGAAACAGGAGGATCAGGGATTCAAGGCCAGTTCTGGGACAACCTGGGCTTCAGGAGACCCTGCCTCGAACACCAATGAGAGAGGCTGGTCTGGCTAGCGTGGGAGATGACAGCAATGCCACCCTAAGAGGCAGGCCGTGCCAAGCATTGTGCACAGGTCTATAATTCCAGCAGCTGGGAGGCTGAGGCAGGAAGATCATTATGAGTTCAGAGCCACAGTGGCTACATAGTGAGTTTTGGGCCTAAAGTCTAGGCTAAAGAGACCATGTCCCAAACAAACAAACAATGAGAAAAAGCGTCAAGTCTGGGTGGCGATACAGCTCAGTTAGTGATTGACTAGCATGTATGAAGCCCTGAGTTCCATCCCCAGCATCACCTAAACTGGGCATGAAAGTGCACACCTGTCATCTCAGCACTTGGGAGGCAGGAGGAAGATTAGATGTTTAAGGTCATTCTCAGCTACACTGGGAATTTAGAACCTGCTGTGACCTCATGAGACTCTGCCTCAGAAAAAATAAAAAAGTAGTATCCTAGTTAGCACCAAGTGTCAGCTGGACACAGCCTAGAACCAACTGAAAACACAATTGCACTTGAGTAATTATCTTTACCAGGTTGGTCTGGGGTGTGTTCCTGAGGATTGTTCTGATAATGGATGCAAGCCGGCCCAGCCCACTGTGAGCAGCACCATTCCCTAGACAGGTGGTCCTGGGCTGTCTAACAAGGCTCGCAGCACAGCAGACAGCTACCAAGGCAGCAAGTAACCTTCCTGTGGTTTCTGCTTCAAGTTCTTGCTTGTATTTCTGCCCTGACTTCCTTCAATGAGGGACTATGGCCTGAAGTGTAAGCCACACACTTTTCAACAGCTACACAAAGCAGACCAATTCTCCCAATCAGTATCCTTGGCTCTGCGGGGTAGGGATAGACTGTGGATGTTTACATTGTTATCCAGGTAAAATAGAAGCTAAAGCTAAGTCTTCAGTTTGGCCCTGGGGGAGTCTAGATCCCACTGACCTTTGTGAGATCAAGTAAATGTAACCAGGACAGGAAGAGGGGAGTGAGAGTATCTCCCAGGAGTGGGGTAGCGGTAGTGCAGGTTTCTTGAGCAATGTCAAGGGCACTTTGAATTAGTGAGTCCCATAGTTACCAATGTCAGACTTCTGTCCTCTCCTTGTGTATTTTGCTTTTGGCTATGGCCCAGGTTCTATGGTCTATTTCTTTTGAGACATGATCTTATATAGCCCGGGCTGGCCCCAAAATTTCAAGATAGCCTCGACCCTTCTTGATCCTTTAGCCTCTACCTTCTGAGTGCTGGGATTCCAGGTCCACAGCCCCATACCAGGCTTTCTGCAGTTCATGCTATCTGTCCTGGGGATTAGGGGTTGTGTGGAAGAGGCCCGTGAGGAATTCAATTCTTCAAGAAGGCCACGAAGAAAACTTGGTGGCATCTAGGGGCATGGACTCAGTTGGCTCTGGAGAAAAGGCAGTGCTTGCACATGTCTACCCACTCAGGCACAGGCCTCAAGCCCAGCTCAGCTGGACCTGCAGAGCTGTAGTGCCAACCTCCACCAACCCCCAAACTCTGTCCCTAGGGAGGGAGACTTACCACTTACTTGGGCCCTGAGCATGTCCATCTGGGATGTCAAGGCTGTCACCTCTTTGTCCCTCTTGTTCAGCTTGTCCTGCAGGCCTAGGAGAGAAAGGAAAGATGGGGACCCATGAACACCCACAGGCCAATAGTGTGGGCAAGCGGTGACGCCTCCTGGAGGAATCCTAACAGGGGTCACACTCAGCCTCTAGGTCAGAGACTTTTCTCATCTTCTGAGTCACCCATCCAGAGGAGGAGGATTCAGTAGTGTGTGGTTTAGGGAACAGAACCACGGATCGCCACCTCTTTGGCTTCCTCAAGCAAAGGATGGAGGAACAGTGAAATAAAGATGGTGTGGCCACAGAGCCAAAAAGAGGATCCCTCCCGTGTTGGGTTGCTTCCCAAGCCAATCAGAACGATGTTTAACAAAAAAAAAAACCACTGATGGTTCTCAACATAGTTTACCTGTTAACCATCTCTTTCATATAGCCCAGGCTGCCTCAAACATACTACATAGCTGAGGGTAACCCTGAGCTTCTGGTCCTCCTGCCTCTATTTCCCAAGTGCCAGGATCACAAACACGCATCACCAGGTCCAGTTGTACGTAGTGCTGGGGACAGAACCCAGGGCTTCGTGCACGCCAGGCAAGCACTGTTCCAAGTCACAGCCTCAGCCCCAATTTATATCTCCTTCTCTTAAAGTAGAATCTGAGATATCGTCTAAGCTAAACTTGATCTCATGGGAATCCTATCTCAGATGATTATTTTCTGAGACAAGGTCTCAATATGTAGCCTAGGCTAACTTTGAACTCATGGCAGTCTTGTGTAAGCCTCCTTAGTAGTTGGGTTATACGCATGTGCATGGCTAGTTTATATCTAATTTTGGTGGGGAGGTGGTTCAAAGCAGAGTTTCTCTGTGTAGCCCTGGCTATCCTGGAACTCAACCTATAGACTAGGCTGGCCTCCTCTGCCTCTCGAGTACGGGGGTTAAAAGCCTGTATGCCACCACACCAGCTTATCTCTAACTTTTATTTATATGATATAATTTATATACTGTAATTCTAACGTTATCTATCTAATTTAAAAAAATAAGGTGAACACTAAACAAGCTACAGGAGCCAGCACTAGGCATGAAGGCTTGTGTTCTCTAGAGGGACGGGACCCGTTACCAAGGTAACAACAATTTACCACGTGTCGACTGGAGCTCCCGAGATCTGCAGTTTTAGCCCTACATCCTCTGGTTCCCCTTTCTATAAACGTCCCAGACAGGGAAGGTAGTCCTTTACCTTTAAATGTCTCCAAATTCCATCTATCTTACTGTGTAGGCGTGTGTGCTACAGCTGGAAGGGGAAGATCAGAGGACGACGTGTAGATATCCAGTCCCCTCTGCCACCATGTGCCACCTGAGATGGAACTAAACTCAACCTCGGCAGTGAGTTTTTACCCACAGAACCATCTCCACGGCCCATGGAAAAGACTTTTTTGCTTGGTTGCTTCCCGTCCTCTCTCCTGACCCCTTTGATACAGGATTTCTCTGTGTAGCCCTGGCTGTCCTGGAACTCACTCTGTAGACCAGGCTGGCCTTGAACTCAGAGATCTCCTGCTTCTGCCACCCAGGAGCTGGGATTAAAGGCGTGCGCCACCACCACCACAGCCGCCAGGTGGGAAGGTGGTTCTTGAGACACTGAGAAACCTGTTCCTACCCTGATGCCACAGCACCCTCTCCTGGAGGGGTGACTGCACACAGCAGGGGACTCTCACCGAGTCGCTGATGGCAGACCTCGTGACTCAGCTCCAAGGTGGCACCCAGCTAGCTTTCCACAAAGCCTGGACTCCGACCCGAGGCTACTCACCCTCCACAGTCTCCTTCACCCGCATCTTCTCCTCGGAAAGGTCATTCGACTCGATCACCTGAAAGGACGGACAGTCCTGTAAGAGGACACGCTTGCCACCCTACCCAGGCCACACCTCGACTTGTGAAAAGGGATCTTGGGGATGCAGGGACCCAATGTGCCAGCAAGGGGAACAGACATATTTGACTCGCTCTCCTTGAGAAAAGGGAAGCTCCCAGTTGGCTTCCAGCTGCCTTGTAGGATTCCCCTGCTGCCTCTGAACTGCTATTTTGGGGAGTAAGGAACAGACGATGAAAGTTACCTTTTCCACATTAGGCAAGTATTCTACCACTGAGCCATGCTCCCAGCCCCTCACTGGGGGATTCTAGGC